AGTGTGATATGATAAGTTCCGAGCCTTGTGCACTTGTGGGACTCGTCTCACGAGTGTACGGCGTCTGTCGCGCCTTGAAATTTGGGTTTTGGGGCATGACATTTACAATATTATATTATATTCTCATTTATTTTTATATGTTGTATATTTGAAATTTTATTTTAACTAAAATCAAAATAGGTATTTAGTTCTTTTTATTTAATTATTATAATTTAGTATATAAGATTGAAATTTATTTTTATTTGTTGCATATTTTAAATTTAATGTAATTAATATTTTACATGTTTTTAGTTATTATATTAAGTAATTTGTACAAAATTATTTTATTGCAAGCATGTGTATATTCTGATTTGAAAAATATATATTTGCTTTTGGAAACATTATGTAACTAGTGGGTAAAATAAATATATTCTATTTTATTTTTATTTTCTTTTTCTTTTCTTTTTTTTGGTTAAAAGCTTTTATTTTAGACCATAATTGGTCTAAATAATCCAGGCAAAGGATTCCATTTTTGGTCTGTATATACTTTATTATGATGACAACATAGGCACTAGACTTTTAAAATTTTGCATCTGAGTCTAATATATTTGGACCATTAACGGTCTAGATAACTTTTAGAGCAACGGACACATTGGCACTAGAATTTTTAAAAGTTACTACTGAGTCCATTATATTCGGACTGAAAGCGGTTTGAATATACTTTAATAGGGCAGCCATATAGGCTCCCAATTTTTAATCCTTGCAGATAAGGACATATATATTCAGACCAAAGTTGGTCCAAATATATTTCCCCTACAACTGCCATTTTTTTTTCTTTTAAATATTCATATTGCTTTTGGTTTGTAGTTATGTTAATATTTTATTAATTTTTTAGTTTCCAGACTGTTTACGGTCAGTTTATTTTAATTTTAAAATATGGGTTCAAATTTTTTCACCAAAATATTCGGACTGCTTTTTGTTTGTATAGTTTAATTATACGTATTGATTTTTTTATCGGTCTAGATATATATTTTTTCATACCACATATATTCGGACCAACTATATAGATCAATTTCAGTCTGTATATATGTATTTCGAATTGATTTGGATGATATTCATACCATTTTATCAATCCAAATATCCATCTTTTGTAGTAGTGAGGGAGAGTTTTGTTTATTTTTATTTTTTTAATTTTAATGTTTATTTAATTAGAATCAATAAGTACTTAACATCTATATATATATATATATATTATAAATGAGAAACCATTAAGGGAAAAAGTTTAATTTATCACATGTCATATTCATATGTCTTCCTTAATTTACTCCTTTTTTTTTTACACGTGACCTAACTTTCTCTATCTAGTAAATTTCTTTCTTTTAAATTCCTTTTTAAATGTGATTATTATTATTAGAGTTTATCTAACCTATATCCTAAGGGTACAAATTAAAAAGGTATTAAATATATATTTTTATCATAAATTTATATTAAAAAAATAAAA